GACTTCAAAGCCAAATTCGTTTGCTGCTGGCACTGACCCCTGTGCTGTGTGGACAGGTGCATTGTTAGCACGCCAGCTCGGAGCTTTCCTCTCCTTTTCTCTTTGATCGTTGTCTTCAAATGTCGTAATTCTGTTTAATAATACTCCCCATTGATGCTTTAACCCCTTCACATGTAGTCAACCATGATTACTTCCTTACTGTCCCAGAAAACAGAGGAGAAAACCGTGTCAACGGACGAAAGTCGCTAAAACCTCTTGGGGGGCCGGAAAAAAATCTTCATCCATTGTTTGCTCTGTTGTTTTGATTCGGGGTGAAAGTGGTGAACCCAGCTCATCTTGGGTGAAAAACGTTTTGAGGAAATTGCATGGATTGGACTGAATTCGTTCCTTGAAATGTCCCGCCTGTTTAACTGCTGATGTTCAGAAAACATTCGAGGCACCCACCATGCAGACAGTTTGTTCATCCCCAGGATGTTCGACAAAACATTGTGAACTGAGTCATAACACAGGCCAAAGAACCTGCTACATGTTGGACAGTCTCACTTCTGTCATTCACTACCATGTGATGGATGGCCTCAACTGGATTGTCCGTGGTGCTGATTTGTGGCATCCTGACCTATGTTCGTCTTTTGTGTTCTCCTTGCCGCGCTTGTAGCTAGCAACCCACTTCTTTATAGTTGAATAAGAAGGAGAGTCATCACCAAGTGTCCTGACCATGTCTTCATGGATGTCCTTAGGAGACTTTCTTTCTTATCGATACACTTGATCACAGCACACGCTTCTTTTGCGGCCATTTTGTGATTTTGCCCTCACCCACCCCATTTTCACGGGGCGTCACGTGCTAATTAATGAATACAAAAATTTGAATTTTTGTGTGCAGTGATGTAAGACGTCATAGTATACAGCCATACCAAAGAATAGGAGTTTGACCTTTATTTTCTAGGTGAGGCCGAGAACTTTTTGAACACCCCTCGTATTTTGTATCCTGTGATGATTATAATGCTGTCTCGGATGGTTGATATAATACTCTACTAAACACAGTGTATAAATAAGATAAGATTGCGGAATTTTGCGATGAATATTGCATACCTTTAACATGTACTGTGAAGTTATATTATGCCTTTCTACCGTAATAATCAATTTGAATCTTTTTCTTGTACACGCAAGTATATTACCACCAGGAATAATGAGGTTTAAGATTTTACGATGAATGTTTATGTGACACTGCCTTTAAGGACGCAGGATAAGCAAAAAAATAACAACAGTCAGCAATAAATAGAGGAAGGAAGAACAATTAAAGCGAACGCCACCAATCATCGGGAAAACCAATTTGTCCCTCAAGTGATGGTCTCTAACTCTGACAAATGCTGTTTATCCGGTGCCAATGCTGGCGGTAATGAGGAGATCAATAAAAGACTTATGTAAATCAGACTCTGTTTCATGGCAAGGCACCTAACAACGCTGCATCACAGGGGTTCCACTGGTGATGTTTCCGTCATATCGCTAAGGTCAGTGGACCAGGTCTGGTGCTCTTCTACACAGTCACAGCCGCACATGTGCCTTATTGCCGTTTTGTAGATGGTGAAAGGCTGGTTTGGGGACATTCAGGCAAGTTGTAGTGTTTCCAATGTCTTTATTTGTGTCCTTGGTGCCATTGGTTTCCTGAGACCTTCGTTGACATGACGTTAATACGATCGCTTGCAATGATGTATTCTAACTTCAGTCACAATGCTATCAGATGGCATAAAGTCTACCTGCATACCAACCGTCCGTATCCCTGTATGTATACGATGAATAATATATATGTACGGGCATCTTTCAGATCACCTATTAAGATATATCCTATGTTTGCACCGTTAACGTAGACCGCTATCGCCTCGTGCGAGTTGGCAGTACGAGAGTTGGATGTGCGTGCGGATTATTGTTTACGTCCGGACAAATTGGCTGCCATGAGCGGAAAAAGACGGGGGAGTACGCGGTAAGTTGAGCCCGCTCAGACGGAACGCCTGGCGTCGGCAGTCACGTTCTCCTCTTGGTTTGTTTTTGACGAGTGAACAGCGTCGTGAAGCAATAAATTTCCTACCAGCCAACCGTCACGGCACAGCCAGCCATGGGTGAAACAAAGACAGGAGTGAAAAGACAAATTATTGTGCACCACAAAATATTGCTGTCGATATCTAAGTACGCCCATAGGTATAAGCAGTCAACCTGTTTGATTAGAAAAAGTTTCTTTCGTACGGACCTTGCACAAGTACTGATTTAGTTTGGGCTGAGTTTTCAAACGATCGATAGTTGGTAATGATACACTGCGTCACTTTGGAGCGGATTTTCATAATCGTACGGGGCAACATCATGGCTAAGGTTTCCAGAGGCTTCGATCCTTAGATTAGAGAAAGTCTTGTGGGATGACTCCACCATATGTGTATCGATATTACTACTTACCATTCAATGATGACCACGAGAATACACGGGTTAGGCCCCCTTCCACCAGAGGTTGCGACCACCGAGGTACCAAATGTTTTACAATTATTTGTTCAACGAATTTTATCGACAAAGGAAGCGTCGACGATATCTTAGGTTTTGTTGTGTTGTAAATCACACTTTTTACATCTTACATTATAATCTAACACAGACCCAGCAGTTTTGTTCGCTGTACAGTCGCTCAGCGGTCGCCCACAAGTGCAAAGGGGATCTTAGTTTTTTAGTTGAAATATCCCTCACGATGTGCAAGTATGATTTTTGTAATGAAAAAAAGGCCAAAAGACATACAGAAAGTATAAAGATTCGCTCTTTATCTCTATAATTCCTTGAGTGTATAGTGTCTCAGCGGTCGCAGCCTCTGGTGGAATGGGGCCCTTAAACCCTGGCCTAGTTTCTTTACAGTTCTGCATGCTAAGACATTGACAAAGCACTCGCATGGGACTTGCGCCTATTAGTAACAAAAGAGAAATGACCAGATTTGTCCTAGATTGATGTTTTGATGTTGATAGATGTTTTTCACGCGTGTAGGAATAATAGAGGGACCGATGGTGCGCATATGTACTGTGGGGGCTTAACGGACTGTATCCTTGGTGGTCGATATTGCGACATGTTTATACGTAATTCTGTGCGTATGAACACTGGTTGATTTGAAGTGGAAAGATACAGCAATTTTGATTTTATAACGGATATCAAATATACCTGATAGCTAACAATTTTTACTACATGAAACGTTACTACTGAGTGAAACTTTCACCAGGCTTATGCTATTTTATATAACGTGTTATGTTTTATATCTAGTGACATGTTAGAATTCAAACCCTTGAACTATAGGTAGGCTTAAATTTTGCAAATTCAAAGTTAAGGGCGTTTATTTTCGTCCTCTGATAATCTCTATAAACTGTTCCTTTTCTGCATCACTGCAACTGTGCATGCACCGAAAGCATCCATCCATCCATTCATCAATCCATCCGCTCATCCATCCATCCATGTACTCTTTCATTTGTTCATTCTCTATTTCTGTCCGTGCGAAAGTACATTATAGTAAATGAACCAAACGTGTGTTACAGTCAATGCAATAAAACATTGTTTGACTGTGTACGGATACTGAAAGATTTCCTGTATTTTCCAGTCTCTCTCTATTGAAGTAAAGTGTGACGGCTTGTAAGGGTTACTTGTAATGGAAAGAACACACAGAAATGCTTCGGTACCTCCGTGCCTACCATTTGTGTATGCTGGTGCACAACAGGTACAGAGATAGGTCTAGTGGAATATGCTAATTGTGATCACAGCTGATCACACTACTTCTGAATGTATGGTGTAACAGCTTTGACATGAAGACGACAATAGGCGTCTATTTTACGATGTTACGACGTTTTGACTTATGTAGCACGAAATGAGGTTGGTTGTATATCTATATTATCCGTAACATCTATTTAAAAAATCCTGAATTCACGTATCTTGTCGACTGACAACTCGTACAGAAGTTCCATCATTAACGACCTCCCTTATTGGCCCAAACGCCTATCCCCCATGTTCCTGAATAGATAACAAGCACCGTTCTCTTGGGTGTTGACGAAGAAGCTAAGAGACGTCCAACAAATAGATGCAAATCAGTGAACCGCGACAACGCTGTTTTTGCAGGAAGTCGCTACTTTGTTCTTTCAAACAATATTTCACATGACCTCAGGCAGGAGGTTTCTCAACAGTCTTATTGACTGTGAAGTGAACGTTTGATCTCAATTGATTCCATTCCTAGGTCAGCTTGCTATCCATCTTTTTGTTTGGCTCAAGTGCACTTCTTTGATCGCTTTTCTACATTCACCAAAGCTAAGGCACAACGTTAACATCGGGATCTGCAAAACGTATTTGAACCCAGGACCTTCCAGATACTGAATCAATCACCCTAACCACAAGACCAAACGATGTCATGTCAGGGTAATTGATCATGGTGGTGAAACCGATTTTCGCGAATATGAAATAACACACTGTTTGGACCTATAGCTAGTGATAAAGAGAGGGCATGAAAAGAAATCCATTTATTTTCTAGTGGTAGAGGAAACCTCTCCCAGTTTTGAGTCCCCTTCCATGTATTCCTGGTTAAAAACGTGTCTTGTCAATACGTGTCGTTTTTGATAGGAGGAGCTTCTATTTCGCCAAGCCACATAGAAATTGGGGGTGCTAATGTATGTTATCCATATGATATCATAGTTTGCATAGACGGTATTTGAATACGATTCTGTACTAGCAAAAGATAAAAATAACAGAATAATTGCACATTCATTTTCACTATTCCTGATTTTGATTTATAGTCATGGTTCAAAACAGTATCATAATACCATTTGCACAAGTTAAAAGTATATAAGACAATATAAAGAAATGACTGAATCAGAGCTAGCTCCTTAAATAGCTATATGGCTGATATGTAGTTGTCTTTTATCATATGTATATTATCGCAAATAAGACATAACGCATGTCTGTTTATGTTACAGTCCTCACCCGTAAGAAGCGACACCAAGAGATGGAGATCGGGAGTGCAGAAGAGACAAAGGGTAGGGGTAATGTTAGACACTATGGTTCTTTATTATACCAATGCTTTTATGTTTTATCAAGATTAGTTACAGAAGTGCATTTTCTACTCAAAGGGTTAGAAATATGAAATATCCTCATGCATGGTTTGGTTTTCACCATTTCAAAACTATTTCAGTTTCCTTTCCAGTTTTCTTGAGAGGTTTCAGTCGATCTTTCAGCAGATCATTTTTGAAGACCTTCTTACTTGGATTCTTTCTTCTTTTCTCTTTCTTTACTTATCCTACGACTCAGACCAGCTGCTCAGCTGGTCTTAAATCAGCCTTGACGTAAGCAGCGTTTCCCCCCTAAATGCATAGATGGCGCTGTTGATCAACGCCACCATGTCATTGCCATGTATGCCAACAGAGGCTGTACTAAGTGCACTATGATACACATGTCTGGGTACAGTTTCCTTTTGATGCATCCCATAGTAGAACACGTAAACAGGTTGGGAAAATAACCGCATGTTACAGGGAGCTTGCAATATCTTCATGCAGACCTGTTCCACTGTAAGGTCTTTCTCAATGAGGTTACACAGATGCACTGCAAGGTAACTAGTGGTTCACGCTTGGTGTGATAGTTTGTCAGTATCATTAATACAAGGAATGATCTGCCATCAATAATGTGACATCTTCCACATAAAGGGACGTTGAAGGATCGCATGCCAAAGCTATACATGGCCAGTCTATCGTTTTTAATCACTTCAGTGGTATGAAGTATGGTTTAGTAGTTGGATAATATCTATTCAGTATGATTATTTCCACAATATTGGTATTTCTGTGGCAGAAAAATTTAATTCCTGTGGAGAGGGGCATGTTTATTGCTTCACATAGTAGGCCGTACTGTACGGAGGCGTGAATGTCACCTGATGATATCTTCACAATTTAATCATCTCGTAAATGACTTGAGGAGCTTGATTGTTTCTCTGCAAGGGACGAATCATCTGATAAGTTTATTTATGAACTAATTTCTTCATGAACAAACTGACTGAAGATCGCAGGAGAATGTCGTTGCCTCAGGTGATAATAAGAAATAAGAATAGAAATAAAATAAAGGCGAGGGAAGGCCTCACGTTTTTTTACAGATGAAGACTACTAAAATAGGGGCTCACTTTTAAGTTGTGAGAATTGCGAATCACACATCTTTCCCGCAGCAAAGTTCAGGGGCACATGTATGATACATTTGAACTGCCTGGTTGAAAATATTTTGTCTCCTGGTTGAAAATATTCTGTCGTAATCTCAAATTCACAGTGCCAGTCGTCATTATCATATGAAATATCGGGTGATATCAGCTCAATTACCATCATGTTAGCAACAACTGGAGGCATTCTTGACACACTAGAAAAATTTACATGTACATAATAAATCTGAATTAATAAATGTGATTTAATGTTGTTGAAAAAAAACGGTTCAACTTCAAATTAGGTTCAGCACGTATATCAGCATTCTCTAACGTATTTACCAATTTGCACATTACACAGGTTATCTCCTTAAATGTGATTCATTTTGCCTAAAGTATCAATGGCGAATATCTGTGCTTGCTACACTTGGTTCTTTTTTCATTTCCATATTGTATTCCAGCCTCCTGAAAGACCTTCACATTCGTATCATAAAGTTTACCAGACATAAACATTAATGCGAAGCGCCAGTCAGCCTGACGTCATCTCGGGTGAGTGTGAAATATTATCGTCTGAACCATGTGGACAGGTGATCTGTCTCCTCAGACACCGGAGAACACAGACACAACACACTGCCACACGTCTGGTGTAGGGTAGTTTTATTGCAAGACAACTGAGCTCTTTTATATAGATAGACATCTTGCATTGGTGCTTTCAATATTCTCTCTCTCTCTCTCTCTCTCTCTCTCTGTGTGTGTGTATGTGTATGTGTGTGTGTGTGTGTGTGTGTGTGTGTGTGTGTGTGTGTGTGTGTGTGTGTGTGTGTGTGTGTGTGTGTGTGTGTGTGTGTGTGTGTGTGTACGTGTGTGTGTACGTGTGCGTGGATGTGATGACAAAGACGCCTTTTCGTGATCTCTACCGGTATAGAGTCACCGATTCTACCAGATCGGACTCCACCCTGACATATAATAAGAACATTATCAGTCATCCAGGCTTAGTTTATAACGCTGTAGATCATCGTTCATCATGTGGGGCAATCTAAAGGTGCTTCACGTGTACCGAACATTTTGTAGATTTTTCACGTTTTATGCCATTTACGTGTACCATGCAATCATGCAGCCTCTTGCAGATATTGCTTTAACGTGTCTCTGGAAGCAAATCGTTCGATCAGAGCTTTTCTAGGACACGTTAATTGGTCTGATGATTGTTCACGTGCGTAGATTTATTTACGTCATATTTGTAATTAACCTTATGGTACTATAGCTTTAATGTTAATTGACTTTGAAATAATTTTTTTTTATTTCTGTGATACCACACGTGATCCAGTCACATATTTCAAGGAGATTTGTCAAGTTTTATGATCTTTCCTTTTAAATTACAATTGACCTCTTGGCAATGTCCATTACGTGTAAAGTGCCTTTGAAAGGTACGTGTGACCTTAAGTTTTTCGCGGACATTTGTTCGCTTGTTTTATAGATCTACCCGACCTACATGTGGTATGATTTGTGGGGTTGTTGATAGAACAGCGTTTTCTAGTGTCACGTCTTGAATTTATTTATTAGGGGATATAGTTTGTTGATCTACATGTCTGAAGTAGACGTCATTCTCTCCATCCAGTCTGCTGTAGTCTGCCTCGTGGAAACCTGCCAAACTGAACCAATAATTCATATGGTGCCGCGGTAAGGAAGAGAAATAAGTCTTTGGAAGACATACTAAACCTCCTCCTGTTGTCGGGTAGCATCTTATGTTATAGTTTTTCATGAGGTTGTAAAATATCTGGCATGGGTTGGCTCGTAGTTGTGTTCTCATATCGTCGTAAACGTCAAACTAAATACGGCTTTACGCTATATGCTGTCACTCTCTTTTAGCGGTAAACCATGTACAGAAGCAGCTGACAGATGAGTTATGACTTCTGTAAAGGGATACATGTACTGTATGTTAAGATGTGTGTGTAGGGTTTTATGGTGTAACAGAGAGCATGTAAAACCAGGGACATCTCTATCTGAAATATTTATAGACAGCCATCCGTACGCTTCCCGGTACCACACATCAGTATGAAGATTGACGGTTCCCCTGACAGTCTTCCCACCACGGACAGGCACAGCGTGTGTGCTATGATGTACGGGTGGTCATTGCGTAATGGTTGTTCCTGGAAAATCGGCCAACAGGGGGCGTTATGGCCGCTTTGCCTTGAACCTTTCTAAGACAGTCTGGACTGTTGAGACGAAAAGAAATTGCTTCTCTTTTCTCCTAGCCTTAGGTCACGCCAATTGTCTGGTTCTCGGATTTATGGCTACATTTTGGATGACTTCATCATCCAGTCTGAATATGAATCAACTCCAAAATGTTCATGTTTTGGCACCGACAGCTGAAGGCAACAACATTGCCTTCATAGGTGCTACATTTCCCCATTTACCAGTATATTCAAAGTGCACACAACTAATAATAAGCCCCCTGATATTATGACAAATTGCTATGCAAATCCTCATTGTTTCCGGTAGGAGGCGTTGCTTCACTAATTTGAGAGGCCTATGGTGTACGTGCACCTCCAGCGCGACCTACGTGCACCTGCAATGTCTACATCTCTCCTTTTCAATCAGTCATATGTATATAGGGCTCATCCATTTGGGCGCTGTGACAACATTCAGAGAGCTGATGGAATATACGACGTACAATATTGGTAAATTACTCATAAAGTTGCGTTTAAATTGAGATGTATTTCCTACAGTTGGAAAAACTAATCATAAGTTTTCTCCATGCCTCAGTGACCGATATGTTTCTGATCCTGTTCATCATCATCAGGGCACGTGAAGGCTGCCTTTGGTTATCTGTGATTAGTATCTAGTAATACACTGGTTTATAACTATTATTATGATATGATCTCTTCTGATACACTGTTAACTTTTAGCTAGCAAGGTGCATGCAAGATAATAGCTGAGTGAAGGGTTGTTGAGCATGCCATTGAAGGGTACACACCTTGCAGGATTTCATACCATACACACATCTGAACCTCCGGCATTGCAACTATCTACCAAAAGGATTTCTGATAACATGTGTCGATAATCAAGTGATAATCCCGATGTGAATTAATACAAACCATTCCAGTCTTAATGTAGTAGGGAATGTTCCCAAGCGGCCTTCGCATTCCCTGTTCTTCCTATTAGTGATACAGTTAGACCTCACTTTCAGTGAGTCGAACTTGTCTCGGGTATTCATGAGACAACAGCGCTATGGAAAGCCATTCTCATGTCACGACTCTATAGGTCAATCCTAAGTAGCATAGTTAAGCCCCGAATTGTATTCCTTATACTCGTGGTATTAGGGGAGACTTAATCTCACGGCTTATATGTAAGGGGATTCCGGCTTCATCGTGTCTTCGGTTATGCCGCCGTTCGATAGTTACAAGCAACGGCAACTGCGACATGAAAGCCGTGTGGTTTTAGACGAATCGATCCAGCACACCCCCTCAGATCGCAAGTCCAACATGGCTTTTCCTCTTCCTTCTATGTTCCCACACCAACCGTCTCACTGTCTGTTTTGACGAATACTAACGTCTCGGATGGAAGGGTAGTCCTTATCCCACAAGGGACAGCCGCCTCGCGCTGGGGAGCCATTTTGAACCTTTTAGCTGCACCAGGATTGACCGCCATTTGTGGGGAGGAAATGACCCTGTACTTTGGCATGCGGATACCGACGGCACTTTCGGGCGGCATAGAAGTCGTAAGATACGGATGGAAGGTTTACTAACCGCCCCGGCATTACTGTAGAATCCTTTTAGTGGGAAATGTACATATAGAGATGACAACATTCCAGAGTTGCGAGTTTTATAGCTTGCGTCGAAGCTTGTTTGCTAATAGCATGCT